AAGAGACCCCAAAATCCCCATATTATGATGACACAAATTTTTCTTTTCCTTGAAAACACCAAGACACAGAGGAAACACTTAAACGACTTTCCAAGCATGTACAAATTATGTTAGTCTGCCTACTCGTGAAGCAGGTCCCCTAAGGTCCCAGCTGGGCAGCTCCAGGTGAGCTCATTCAAGTCACAGACCTCAATATCATATACAAACGTCCTCCTCTCCAGAGTCCTCTCTGGAAGTCCCTCCCACCCACCCTGGATCAATAGTGAGGAAGCTGACCATACCGCAGGCTAGGCCACGGAGGCCCAGGCTCAGGGCTCCCAGGACAGGCTGGGCATGGCCATTCTCACCATCATCACGGTCAGCCCCCACGGGGGCACCAGGGAGGGGTGTTGTGGTCCCCAAGCCTCTGCTGTATCCCCTCCAGAGACCTGCCCTCCAAAGGGGCAGGGTCCGTCCCCGGGACCCAGGCCCACCCCAGACATGTGGGGCACAGAGAATTATGAAGCTGGGGGTGCTAGTTTAGATTGGGTGATGTTTCTGCAGTGGCCAATATACGGTGAGGAGTAAGCCGGGCAGAGGTTTGGGTAAAGAACATTGGAGGAATATCCCATTGTATATATGTACCACATCTTCTTTATCCATTCGTCTGTCGATGGGCGTTTAGGTTGCTTCCATGACCTGGCCATTGTGAATAGTGCTGCAGTGAACATTGGGGTACATGACTCTTTTTGAATTATGATTTTCTCTGGGTATATGCCCAGTAATGGGATTGCTGGGTCATATGGTAATTCTATATTTCATTTTTTAAGGAACCTCCATACTGTTCCGCGTAGTGGCTGTACCAATTTACATTCCCACCAACAGTGCAAGAGGGTTCCCTTTTCTCCACACCCTCTCCAGCATTTATTGTTTGTAGATTTTCTGAGACATGGATGGATCTAGAGACAGTCATACAGAGTGAAGTAATTCAGAAAGAGAAAACAAATATCGTATATTAACACATATATGGGGAACCTAGAAAAATGGGGTTTTTTTGGTGAACTGGTTTGCAAGGCAGAAATAGAGACACAGATATAGAGAACAAACTTATGGACACCAAGGGGGGAAAGCGGTGTGGGGGTGGTGGTGGGATGAATCGAGAGATGGGGATTGACATGTATACACTGATGTGCATAAAATAGATAACTAACAAAAACCTGCTATATAAAGAAAAATAAAAGAACATTGGAGGGAGCAGTAAACACCAACCCCAAACAGCACATTCGTGTGGCAGGTGCTATTAAGATTGTTTCTCCCTCCACACCCCTACCTCCTCAAGTCCCCGGTGGACTTGCTGGGTGGGCGGGCAGCGATGACCCGCATGATACTGAGAAAGACCCAACCCTTGGGTATTGAAGCTCTTGCCCAAATTGAGTAAGGGAAGAGGAAGATCTGAAAACAGGGGCTCTGTGGGCCGGGCCTCGGGCCCCGTGCAACACACAAGGCCAGCCAGGGCTCCACTAGTTTAAACGGCTCACAGTCAGGGTCACCTGTGCAGAGGGCCTGGCTTCACCTCTGGCCAGCCTCTGGGAAGGGGATTATGGGTAACTTATTTTCTTTCTTTATACTTATCTGCACTTTCCAAGTGTTTTGTTGTTGTTGTCGTTTTGATGGACGTGTGTTTCTTTTACAATAAGACAAAGGTTTAAAACTGGCAGCAGGGTGGGAACCTTTACAGACACCCACGCTCCACTTTGGTGAGCTGTTCCATCTGACCCCACAGTGTGACCAGGGGGGTTGTGAATGAAAAAACTAAACCTGGGATTTGGTAAACTCATCCTGGAAACCAAAAGGGAAGGCTTTTGAGAGGGCAGTCCTTGCTGGAGATGAAGCATCAGAAGTCTTGAAAGAGGTTGAATTTTGGAATCTAAAGTGACACCATTAGGGTTTCTTTCCTCTGGTGCTCGTGGTCGCCCAGAGCTATAGGGATATTAGAGGAGCTCAGGAACATTGGGCCAATGATTTAATTATTCCAGGTTGAAACTCATGTAAAGTGCAAGTGCTCCTGGGATAAAGAAGGATTTCAAATCGTCTTCCAGGAGCAGCTCAGTTTATCTCAGGACCCCCATGCCCAGCAGCATCCAGGCACAGTGAGGCCCTCAGTAAAGGAAAGAAGGCCACGGGAAGTTTGGCAAAGTGTGATCTGCTGGTCTTGGCATCTGACGCCAGCTCCACACTTCCCTCCAGCCTTGTCTGTGCCCCCATCCCCGCATCACTCCGGCTCAGCCACACCAGCTTCCTCTGTGCCGCCAGCTCCTGCACCTGCAGTCCCTGTGACCTGGCATTCCCTTCCCTCTGCCTCCTTTGCCCACAGATCCCTCATCCTGCAGGTCCCGTCCTTAGGGAGACTTCCTTCACCCCGGCCTCATTAGCTCTCCCTCCACGGGCACCCTTGATGCCCAGGATGGGAAGCTCCATCATATCCTCAAAGTGCTGCCCAGCATCGGGCACAGAGTTTATGAGTAAATGCTGGTAAAAGGATGGGAGGGCATGGCTGGCATGAGCCCTAGCAGGAGGCCAGACCAGGGGCTCAGGGAGCTGGCCCTGGAGACTGGGCGCAACCACCTCTTTCCCCCAAGTTGATTTCTAGACATGTACATACCTTCCTGACCAGGAGTCATGTGCTGGGCAGCTGCCAGGGTGGAGAAGCCACTGTGAACTGACAGTGAACTGTAGGGATGTGATAAGAGGGGAAGAGCCTGGGGAGGTTGCTGCAGCCCACCTGACAGAACCCACCTTGAAGGTTTCCCTGGCCTGCCAGAGTGGGAGGTGCTGTCTAGATTCGGACCCCTGGCCTAGGGCAGCAGGCAGCTCAGAGGAGATCTGTGCCCCACCAGGGTCTATGAAGAAGATTGGAGGGTTGGGAGGACCTGCAAGGATGAGACATCTCTCCCCATCTGACCTGGCCTGGCCCATCCTTCAGGTGGCCCTGCTGTAGTGTGTTTTTTTAGGAGGCTAGCTGTACGCTAGCATTTCTGAGTCAAGCCTCCTATCAACCCCATAGCCATCCGCTGTGTGCGCTAGCTTCCCAGCATCTGGGCATGAATGCCTGTCCCCAGGAAAGCCTTCCAGGCCCTCCAGTGCAGGTCCCTGCAGATCCCCCCACAGAGACTTCCACTGCCGTCTCCACCAAAGCTTCTCTCTCCACTCAGATACCACATCCAGCTTCTATCCATTTGCCAGGACTAGTTTCACCCTCTTGGAGGCTGGAGGCCAGGATTTGAGCAAAGCTCTTCCTCTACTTTCCCCAGACTGACCTTTGTCCAGGCTCAGGAAGAAGAGCCCAGCAGGCTGCCACGTCTTCCCCTGGGCGTGAGTGTGTGGTCGTGGGACACGGCCACAATTCTCAACGCCGTACAGGCTTGAGAATCGGGTTTGCCAACCGGGGGCCCTACGAGCTCCCAGGAATGTATACCCTACAAGGCCAAAGAGGGGTGGGTGAGTTGTTCTTGTCAGAGCATAGAAACTCCCAGAGAGCAAATAGATTTGATTGTATTGAACACAGCAATTGATTTCTTTCTAAATAAACATGCAGGAGGAGATGGCAACAGGCATCTGTTTCTGACAGGAATCAATTGACCCAAATTGGAATAAAATCTAGAAACACAAACAAGCACAAGAAAGTGATTGGACCATCCAGGCTTTTCTAGGGAGGCAGGGAGAGAAACAGACAGACTTCCCCACCAGCACTCTCCCCACCAGGCAGCTCCCCTGTTTGTTACTCTTCGGCAAATGTGGTTCCAATAATGACAAGGGGGAGAGTAGCTATCATTTTATGAGCCCTTACTTGGTGCCAAACCACTGCTGTGCCTTTTATGTGCGTATCTTATTTAACCCTCCTAACAGCCCTATGTGGGAGGCACTGCGCTCCCCACTTCACAGATGAAATTACTGAGGCACCTTGTGCAAGGTACACACTCAGGCAGCCACAGAGCTGGGACTCAAACCCGGTGGACTCCAGATCCAGTGCGCTCCGGCACCCCTGAGCTATGACCTGGTGCCCTAAACTGGCCTTGGAATTAAGGGGACGAGCCCCAGGCCCCAGACACTCCCTTCCCAGGGGGGCACTGGCTTCACCCTGGACTGGATGAGGAGGAGTGCACACCCATGCTCCAGGGCTCAGCAAAGCCAGGTGCTGGAGTACATATTCCATCCCGGGAGGTGGGGAAGTGGGGCCAGAGAGGCTCTCCCGCTCGCTAACAACCGGCAGCCTCCACTCACGGTGCAGCCCTGTGCGGGGAGCATCCTCATGGCATGTTGCCAGCGAGATAAACTATGTCATGTCACAGTGCGTCACAGGCCTCATTTGCCAAAACACTGTGTGGTTCGGATGCTGTGGACCAAGCATGGCCATGATAAAAGGCCTAAGAGCAACGGGCTGTGCGCTTTGGTTTTAATTTTGTAAAAGCTGCCTTTTGTGTCTTGGTCGCAGGCTTATGTACTCATGTTCGTTTTGAAGTAATCCAGCCCTGGGAGTGTACCTAATTAACTTAAGCAGGGCTTATTAGTCCCCTTAACTGGAACTCGCTAATCTATGAGACCAAGGATTCCAAAGCAGCCTTTAAGGTAGGATTAAGGCAAAGATGAACTATTACAAAATGGAATCGGGGCGGCTTTCCTAAAGCCGCTGTGGGGCTGTGCTGGGACTTCCCCTGGACGAATCTCCCCATTCCATCTGGCAAACACTCTGTGTCTGGCTGTAGTAGGTGCTCAATAAACATTTGCGAGATGAACAAACAGGCTCCTTCCAGCATTTGCATCATGTGTAGCATGTATCCACCGCTCCATAAATATTTATGGGATGGACTGGTGGACAGACGGACGAATAGGTCTCATGCACTCCGGTAACACCCTGCACTGCACATAGTGAATGCCCAGTAACTGCCGATGGGTGGGGTGGATGGGGGTCTTCTCGAGACCAGGGGAGGAGTCTGGCAGCAATAACCCCATCTTCTCTTCCAGGTAACCCATGCACCATGGCCAACTACGCCCGCCTGAAGAAGGCCCTCCTGGCGCTGCAGACCCGCCTGCAGCCACTCCATGAAGGGGACAGCAGACAAGACCCTGCTTCCCAGAAGCGGCTCCTGGTGGAATCTCTGTTTAAGGACGTGGATGTAGACGGGGACGGCCACCTCAGCCGCTCTGAACTGGCCCAGGTGGGTACGGCATTCGGTGAAATTGCATCACGGAGGAATCCAGTTTTCCATTCCGCGTGTGAAGGAAGAGAACTGGGAGATCCACATGGGGAGAGTCATTTGTAACCGTCTCTGTAATGTGATGCCAAGGAGGCCTTGCTCCTGCAAGAGAAAGCCACCTCCCGGGAGTCGGAGAGCTTGTGTTTAACACCTCTTGAGAATATCTGACAAACAGAACGATGTCAGTGTCTCCTTCCCACCAGCCACCTTCAGCCAATATTTACAAACAAGCTCTGAGGCACTCTCAGCTAGCTGGTGAAACATACACTGCACGCCGGCTGGGCTCTGAGGTTTTCATTAGGAAATAAGTCTTTTCTTCCTGAGTCCTTTGCTTTCCTCAGCAGAGAGGTTCAAAGGAAGCAGGTTTGGTTCCCACCAAACACTTCTGGAGCTGTGACCTGGGTGTCCCCACGTCCTCTCCGCTAGGACCTCGCCCTTTGCGGTATCCGGAATCAGTAGCCCGCACCCCAGCCTGCTGGCTTGCGGGAAGCCCTGTGGCCACCCCCAAACACTGCTCTTCCCTTTGAGAAAACACTTGGATGGGGCCTCCCTCCCAGACACAGCACACGTGTCCCTCTGTCCAGCTACAAGGTGGTACAAGGGCCTGGAGCATCTGCAGCAAAAAGAAGCGAGGAAGGAGCAACCTAGGGCACCAGGCAGGCCAGCTGCAGGGTGGGCCTGTTGGGTGCTGGTGGCAGAAGGGCACGCTGGGTGGCCCCGAGGGCCTGAGTTCCTGCTCCTACTCTGCTTGTTTGTCTCTGAGGGCCTGGGGCCCTGGAGCCACACCAGGGGCAAAGATATGGAGGGAGGATGAGGTCAGCCTCCCCAGGAAGGGTGGGAGGGCCTAGCAGCTCTGCCCCAGAGACCACAGAGTGCCCCCCACCAGAGGACAGGTAATAGGATGAGTCCCCACCTTTGATGCTACTTTAAAGAAATCCTTCACAAGGCACAGCAATGACTTCATCAAAGCTGTGACCAGGTCACCAGGAAGGACCAGGCTAGGGAGCGTCCTGACATTTACCGAGCACCCACTGTGGGCTCGGCACTAAGCAAGGCCCTTTACTTGTGATGTGCCCAACACAGATGTGTTCCTCACTCGGAGGTAGAATAGCTACGAACGCAGACTTCACGGTCAGACTGCCTGAGTTCAGGTCCAGCTCCAGCATTTACAGGGACCTAGTGGGTCTAGGCAGACAGCTTCGCCTCTCTGTGCCTCGTTTCTTGTCTGTGACTGTCGCAGGGTCATCAGGAGGGTTAGATGAGCTAAGACGTGAAGTTCTCAGCCTAGTGCCCAGCACGCGGCACATTCTCAGTAAGTGACAGCCGTCAGCATCACTTCGTCATCATCACCTTTATTGTTGTTACTATTTCCTCCTTAAACCTTTCAGCCACCCTTTGCTGTGTGGTAGGTGCTAGTGTTATCCTCCCTTCCCGAGTATTTTTAGATGAGGAAGCAGCTCCAAGAAATCAAGAAACTTGCATGCAGTGTGTACTACCTAGAACATGGTGAACTAAGACAAAACCCGGGGGCCGGGGGGGTGGGGGGGGCGGTGAGTGGACCTGCTCTCCTCATGGTACAGGGGGCTCCCTGTAGGGAGGGCTCCCACCACAGGCTCCACCTGATCCTCTCCAAGTCTGTGGGGATGACAGGTGCCCATAAAATCTGAGTACAGAGCAATTATCCAGACGCTTCCCCACGCAGGGTCCCCTTCTCAAGTCCAGCCAGTCCAGAGCCTGCTTCCAGGGAGTGTGTTGGGAAACACAGATCCTAAGGCGTTTGCAGACCCGCCCCTGCTCACCCACACCTGGCAGCATGTGCAAGTCCATCCACGGCCCGCACCCCGGGAGGCCTCCCAGGCACATGCCAGCCTGCATGTCGCCACTTCCAGCAACACTCAGCCCCCAGCTATGGCTAAGAGCCCAAGGGGCGGGGCCAGGGACCCACAGGTGACCCACGCCGCTCTGGGGAGAGCCCAGGTCCTGTTAGTTACGGTTACCTGGGAGAAGAGCCATCTGGCGATTCGATTCCCCGCAATACAGGCTGTGCGGGGAGCCCGGAGGGCAGGCGTTTTCTCCTTATTTAACAGAGGCAGCTGTGGGCTCTTGGTGCCCCAGGCCCACGTGGCTCCCGGTAGCTGCCAGGTAAACAGAACCTTCCTGGGCGCATTGCTCTAACCCGGCGGAGACATGCCCCGAGGCACCTGAAGCCATTAACAAGCATGGTAATTGGACTATGATTTCTTCTTTAAAATTTAATGTGTTTAAAGTACATTTCATAAATCTGCCGAGCAGGGGCCAGCTAAAATGGGCCTTTCCTTGACACTGAATCAGCGGCGTCAGGGAAAAACTTGTCAGTCCTATGAAAAGTTAATCAACTTCCAATACAGAAGTAGACAAAGGGAAATTTCCATCTTTGGAAGATTGATTTCGGGCGTTACGGTTGATCGCCCTTTTATCGAACACTCTTACTTGCTGGGTGAAGGGTCATTTTTTTAACATTATCACATTAAATTGCATTTAACTTAGCAGGCCCAGCTGAGACTGTTAAATAAAGAGGAAATGCCTCTGTTCCCCTCTCCCCACAAAAATAAAATCATTTTCTTTCTTCTGAGATTTCCTTCTGAGCATTTTCCTTGCAAGACTCTAGTTCCAGACACACATGCCAAAAGGTGACTGGTCATGCTGGGGAGACCTCTGCCCTGTGGCCCAGGCCACATCCAGAGAGGAGTTCACAGGGGCTCCCCCGTGGTCCCCGCGACAGAATCCTAAGGGTAGTGGTTTGTGTTCCTGGCAAGACAGGGCAGGCAGAGACGGGGGCCCAAGCCTAGGTCAGTAGAATGGCAGTTTTCCCTTCCCGGGGCGAGTGCTGTGGCTAGGATGTGCTGCCCTGAGATTGGAGTGGGCTGGTGGAGGCGGGGAGGGGAACATTGATGGAGCAGTGACCTTCCAGCTCTACATAGCTGGGAGCCACTGAGTTCGGCCACTGTTTGCTGGGCTTATTTGATCAGGCCCCTTCTCTTCCCTGTTTCCCCATCTACAATGTGAAGGGGTAGATCAGGTGACCACAGGATCCTTCCCACCTCAGACTGTCTGGGGTCTGTTTGCCCAGGCAGGGAGAAGACAGACCTGAATGCTAATCCCGAGTCGGCCCCAATCACTGGGTGACCTTGGGAAAGTCCCTTCCCTCTCTGAGCCTCAGTTGTCTCATCTATAAAATGAGAGAATCAAACAAGACAATACCAAAGAGATTTTGATGCTCCTCATGGCCCACCGAGCTGTTGCTGGAGTCCCCACACGAACACACACACGCACACGCACACGCTGGTGAGCACAGCCCCACCCACTTGGCCTGAGCCATTTTCCAGCAGTGCCCACAGCTCTGAGCTCACTCCCGGTTCTAGCCTTGCTCCCTTTCTCACCCGCAGCACATGCTGAAGGAGCAGGGCCTGGAAGAGGACTTCCTGGGGTGCTCACCAGGCGACCTCCTCCGATTTGATGACGACAACAAAGACGGCCTCCTGACCCTCCATGAGTTCTACACAGCCTTCCGTAAGTCAGGCCCCAGTCGGGGCTCGCAGTGGGCAAACAGACATTCCTGCACCAAAATGGTGTCAGGGGCCTGGAGTCTGTCCTTGGTTGTTTCCAAGATTGGCTTCTTCTATAGGTGAAAGCAGTTGAATTTGTTTTGCAACAAGCCTGAGCTTTAAGGGAAGAGTAAGGACGGTAGGGGTTGTGGGGGGCGGGGGGACTCGCTCTGCCCCTTTTGGATAAAGTTGCTTCGCGCTGTTGCTATCGTTTGAGGGACCCGGGACTGCGACGTGAGCACGGTTAGGAGGGCACTGCCTCACATCGCTAGGGGATTCTGTGACTGCACATGGGGGGAGCAGATGTTAGGGTTCTCCCCAGGCAGTGGCCTGGCCCCATCAGGGAACCCTACCTGGGGGTAAACCCTGAAGGAGGGTGCTGGAGGCTTGGCCAGGCAGGAGAGGGAACAGTCACTGTGGAGGATGATGAAGAGAAAGGGTCCTGGTTAATGAGAGGCAGGGGAATCCCCGGAGAAGAAGAGACAGGGGGTGCACTACCTAAAAACGGAGGAGGTGCCCAGAGTGGACCCTCTGTGGGGTCGCTAGTACATATGGCAAGTGGGTAGGGCAGCTGAAGGACACAGGTCTTCTCCCTGAGGTGCTGCCCCAAGACATGACCTCACGCCAGCCGTAGCTGGGGCTGGAACAGGGCTTCCAAGAGATGCGAGATGCAGGAAGGAGCCCCAGGTAACTGCAGACAAGCTCACTAGGAGAGGAGAGGGAAGGGTGATGCGGGGGCCCTAACCCGAGACAAGAGGGGACATTCTTGGCCCCAAAGAGTTGAAGTCCCTTTACGACAGACAGCATTCAGGCCCTGCTTAAAGCAGGTAATGTGTGTGCCCTGTGTGAGGCGCCCCTGGACATGACCTGCAAGCTCGCGGCTCCTAACTGCAGGCCCTGGAACTGGGGGAGCAGGGATGAGATCCCCAGGGTGCCCTGAGTACCCTGAGCCACAGGTCCTGGCATCCTTGGCCCCGGCCCCAGCCTGTACCTGGAGTTCCATTTTCCAGGAAGGTATTCCTGCTTCGTGGACATCTCTGTGTGCTGTTGTTACTCCAAACATTCACAAGGCCTGAAAATCCTTGTGATCTGTTGGCTGGAAGAGCTCTTGTGGCAGATAGAAGAGGTACTCATGTGACCTAAGAGGAGAAAAATGAGCGTGATTCTTCCCTGTGGGAAATGTCCCTGAGCTTGTTGTAGGCGGTGCCTTTCCAGTCCACGACGTCCCTGTTACCAAGGCCCAAAGTCCAACCCCCAGTTCCCCGGCTCTGCTTGATATACGGTGACTAGGTGTGGCTCCCCAACCTCCTCCTTCCTGCCCACGGCTAAAACCCATATCTGCATCTGGTGGTTCATAATAAGGTGTGAATGACTGTAGGCTCAATCTACTGTGGGAGGGGTTTGCTTTGTGGATTGAGGAGCTTATTCCATGAAATAAATCTCTAAATTTTAGAATGTATGGAAGTATCAGCAACTCCAGAGACCTAGCTCGTGAGACGATTCTTAGATTTTTCAGGACTTTTGCAAGGCAAACAGTGAAATGGTTGGTAGCTTTAAATCAGCCATAGTAGGAATGTTTACAACACAGAAATCTACACCTACACAAATGCTGCAAAAGGGCGAGGGTGCTCTTTCCCCTCTGGAGAGCCCATTGTTAGGCACTGACCTGCACACGCTGGACGAGACCCTCCCTCCCCTCCTGTCTTCAGCATCCACCTCCCGCAAGCTCCTCTCCATCCAGCTTCCCCAAACGGAGCCCTCTTGATGATGCTATTCCCACAGGACGTGAACAGAAAGAGAGTAGATGTCGGGGCAGATGACAGGGTGAGCCGCCCTCCACATCAGGGAAGCAGCAGCATGCTCTCTGGGGGCAGCTCTGAGACAGTGCCTTGTGCGCTCAAGCCCCTCTGAAAAAGGAACTGTAACGAAAAAGATCAGTGCCTTTTAAGAGCTGGGAGCCAAGGCTGCACTTCAAGGACTTGGGGGATACACTGAGCATCGCACTCAGATGTCCCACGATGGCATCGTTAGGCAGAGAAGGGCAGTGCTTAGGCACCGTCCCGGTACCTGGTGCCACAGAAGCCTCTAGCGCATGAGCCCGCTCCATGGGAATTGGTCTGGGACCAAATAGGAGCTAATGGCTCTACTTTCAAGGAAATGGCAGCATCCCGGTTACCCCTGATGAAAGAGAAGCCCTCCCTGGCCTCCCTAGTGAAGGTCATTATGAGCGGAGCTGCCTGTGGAAAAGGAGGGAAGTCCTTGCTTTACCTCCAGCCATATGTCCCATGTACAGCAATGTGCTGTCTGTTTCCCTCATTCCTGGATTATTATTTGAAAAGCTTTATAATCACCGTTTTTAAAGCAAATTAGATTCTGCTGTCGCCTTGGACTTGTTCTGAACCGGGCAGCGAAACCGTTCATCACAGCCCAACCCAAATAACAGATATGCAATAAAACGTAAACTCGCAGCCATTAAGGAAGCTGCAGCATGAGTTAACCCTGCCATAGAGGCTTCACAGTCAGCCACTCGGAGCACACAGGATCAATGGTCTTTCAAAGTCATAAGAACTCTAAATTCCCATTGCTCTGGGAATGGATTTATGGTTCAGTGAATGTTAAAAAGGAAATTGAAATGAGACATACAGGTACAACTTTTTAACCAGAAATCAATGGGCATTAAAGAAATCTCCCTAAAACTCGGAAAGTAATATCTGAAACGTTTCAGCAGCAACATCTTGGGTTTAATTTTCAAAACTGCAGCTGACAGGCTGGCAAAAGCTGAGGCTTTAAAATTGTATTTTTTAGTCTCTGTTTTGCCAGGATCCTTGAGTACCAGGCAGGGCAGGGTCTGTGGGGTGACTCCTGGCACAGACTCGGCCGCTCTATTAAGGGATGGGTCTAGGGGAGTTTTCCCTGGAGAAGTGCATTGTACTTTTGAGTTTTTGGTGTTGCGGGTGGATCTCCTAAATCGCGTCTTCTCATGCAGCTGGCGTAGCCCAGGCTGGGCCGGTGTTTGCCATTGTCTACGGATGGCTGAGGGCAATGCCAGGGATCCTAGGGCTGCTGGCTGCCGCACTCAGTTGAACGGGTTCATGATGGGGCTGCACCTTCCTCCTGGCTTTGCAGAACAGGTGACCCTCCCCCGAGGAGGGCAGAGGACAGATCCCTTAGCCGTGGAAGTCAGGTCAGCCTCTTTCTGTCAGAAGGTTGGAAGGCTGCAAATCACCCGTCTCTGTACAGTGATGGCAGTGGAATAGGAGGGTGGCCTCCCTCTCTTTCTCTGTTTATCATCCAAACATTCTCTCAGGTTGCTTTTGGCTTTCCAAATCACAGGCTGATCTCGGAACTAAAGACACAGTGTCCCCTCCACACGTGTCCCCCACCCTTCCTCCCCACTCCTCCCTCCCCATCCCTAACAAGCCCCAGAACCTCCCATCCCTGCTATGAGACAGAGGCCCCAGGATTGCTGGTAAGCATGGTGCATGCCAGCCTGTCTGTTCATCTCGATAAATAAATCTAAAAGTTGCTCGCTTAAAAATCTTTCTCATAATGCATGTTTTTGCACTTTTCTGAGTGCTTGGGTTGGGAGCATGGGAAAAACATGTTAAACGAGGATTTTTCTCTCACTTTGAATTCATTACAAGTTCCTTCTGCTTTTTAGAAAGATACTTGTCCTTTTCCTATGAGAGCAATGTGCTGCATGCCAAGGAAGTGTTTGCACAGCTCGCGGTGCAGGATAAAGGGCTTCCCGTGTTAACATCTGGGATCACAGGTGCACAGTGTCCAAGAGGAATACCCGTGTCAGGGGGACTGCAGGGAGCTGATTGTGTGAGAGTCAGATGCCCTCCCTCAGCTCCAGGCAAGCAGGAAGGAAAACAATGATTTAATCTGATTACTGCAATACCTCTGTATCAGGGCAACTCTGTAAAACAGAGGAGGTGGTCACTTGGCGAATTTACAACTGTTTTTCTGCCATTGTTTCTGCGTAATGAAAGGATGGTTACGGCTTCACCTCGCATGTCGTTATCTTCTGGAATGAATAATGCCCGCCCAGGCCAGACGCCATGCCAGACACGTTATCTTAGTCAGCCCTCACAGCCACCCTGTGATGGTAAAACAACGGCAACCATCCCTCCCCCAAATCTGTCCGGCTCTTTATCCATGTAGCATGAGTTCAGACAGGAAATTCAGCTGGTAAGGATACCACTTTATCCTACTCTGTTCATTTCCTTAGTTTGGGAGAGTGAATAGCAACATTTCAGATAGCATGGGGTTTATCAAAAGTTTTATCTGAGAATATTTGTCTCTTGAGTTTGGAGAGCAGGAGTAACCTGCGCGCTGGTGTCGGTGTTGGCGGATGCTAAGACCATTAGTGTGATGACTCCCCAGCCCCAACATGTGTGATGCCTCATGCAGGACTTGCAAATCAAGGGGCAAAAAAAAACAGATTCCCTCTCTTGGTCCCTCATTTGCTCAAGGGCATATAACAGCTAAATTGGAGTGGCTGCTGGAGGGAGGAACTGGAAACTGGTATCAGAAGGTGCTATGAGTCTCACTACCCCCTGCCAAGGACTTTCTCCTCACCTCCAGTGGAGAGAGGGGCTCCAAAAAGTTTCCACGTGAGCTTCAGTGCCCCTGAAGCCAATGTCAGTGTGCCATCTGAATGCTTTTTTGCTTGTTAATATTGCTTTAGTTAGTAATGAGCTCTTACTACTTGAGTCATATAAAATGATATCTGACATTTATCATGTGTCAGCACTGTGATTATGTCCCAATTTTACAGATGAAAAAACTGAAACTCAGAGAAGTTAAGTAGCTAACCCAAAGTCACAGAGCCAGCAGGTAGGAGAACCCAAATGCCTGGTTCCAGAAACATTTCATGCATTTAAACACAGGTTGCAGCTCATCAGCATTCTCCATTAAGGAGAATCTCACTGTCCCCACCGTGGGTTTCCCTGAATTTCA